AAAAAGTAAATTTGGGAAAGGGCGGGGCTCGAACCCGCGCACTTGCGACCACGGCATCCCGGTTCCTATACCCATGACCCGCCGATTGTACCGCTTTGCACGCCCTCCCGTTAAACCACGAAAGTGATTTGTTAATATCCATTAAATGCCGCGGTTTTATATAGTAAAGTACGCCTTTGCTTTTTTATGGGTGGGTTTCCGGTACAATTGGTTTGTTTAACGATTAAAAGTAAGGGCATTACGAGTTTTTCAGGCCTACGTTATCGGTTTAAAGCATTAAATTAAGCACGGCCTTACCGCTGTGTGCGTTATTTAGCCTGTGCGGTAAGTGGGGTTAAAACAATAAAAAGAATAGCTACGCCCTAGGGCTTCGCTAACGCCTTTAGTGCTCTTTTGTGTTGTTCGAGGAACGAGTTAAAACACCAAAAAAGCACTGTTATTTTATTCTTTTGCTTTAAACATTTAAAATTAAAATTAGGGCAATTTAACGGTGCCCCCGGAGGGCCGTGCAGGCGTTAAATTAGCGTAGCGGCACCTGATTTTATACTCAACGTCTCTCTCGGCATCACTGTTTCGAACTTCATGAGGCATACGGGTTGGGCACCTCAGAGCCTGCTTAAATTCACGTCCCTGTTAATTTTACATTTTTGAGTTTTTGACGCACCCTGGTTTCGAGTCTTTTGACTGTTTCACCGCCAGCCCGGCATTCCTGTCCTCGATTCCTTCGACCAGCTTCCCCAGTTGTTATCGACGCAGCGCGGTGTAATGAATTCGAAACGACCACGGCAAAATGATCAAAACTCGGATGCGAGCCACCCAAAGCGCCCAAAAACCGTCGACATCGTCTGCCATGACTCCCATGGCGGCGTGCCCCTTGCGCATGGAGATTACACAATAGCCTGGATTTGTGCGCTTCCTTTGGAATTGGCGGCATCTCGCGCCATGCTGGATGAGCAACACCCACCACAACCAGGCATACCCGGCGATGACAACACCTACGTGCTGGGACGCATCCACCGACACAACGTCGCTATGGCCTGCCTGCCTGGGCAATACGGGACGAACAACGCTGCAATCGTCGCGACAAACGTGAAGCGAAGTTTTCCCAGCATTCGCGCCACCCTGATGGTCGGCATCGCCGGCGGATCCCTAAGCCAGGCCGACTTGTACCTGGGCGACGTAGTCGTCGGCACGAGGGTGATGCAGTATGACATGGGCAAGGCACTCGGGGACGGCCACTTCCAAGGAATAGCCATCCCGAAGACTCCTGCACCGCTGCTGAATTCGGCCGTGTCCACTTTGCGATCGAAGCAATCCAGCGATCGAATAGCAAGCCTTTCACGAAGCCGACTCCCGAACCTCTCGCGTCCGGATTACCCCGATCGCCTTTTCCAGGCCTCCTACGAACATTACCCTTTCCGTGCGCCAACATGTAATGACTGCGACCCGAAAAAGTGTTAGGGGTCAATCGGTGCAGAGGCGGGTGGTTACCGGGTTACGGGCCGGATGCGGTGTCTCCTTTGTTAGGCCTCCGTAAATCTCCTACCAAAGGTGCTATCGCCCACAAAAATTGTTCCTTTTTTAACCTCCCTTTCCTTCGTGCCCCTTCGGGCACCCGGGGTCGGTCCTTTAAATCCTCCGCGTTCCAAGCGCTTTCGTGCAATTTAAGCTTTACCCTATTTTTTAGCTTCGCTATTATGCTTTGGCCGCGATACCGGTAACTTGCCGGCATGTTCCCGGGGGGTCCGTGCCCGGCTGGCTGCCAGCGCCCCCTTTTTCCTTTTTTACCGGGCGGTTTCGCCCGTGCATTTAACGCTCCCCGCTTTTTGCCGGGCGGTTTCGCCCGTGCTTTTAACATATTGCCCTTTCCCGATACGGCTTGTTCCAAGCCGCTTGTACCGCGCGTGCGACCCCGTAAGTAGCCGGTAGCTTACGGTATCCCGTTAAACCGCCCCAATGCTTGGCAACGCTTAAAGAAACCGGCTGTAAGGCTTTGTGGCATTCGGAAAAATGGGTCCGTGCTGGTATATAAAAGGCTTTTTTTCCCGCTCGAAACTACGAGCCCTTTTTTTTCCTTTTTGTGCATTTAACAACCATTCCAACAACTTTAACGATTGTAACCGTAAGTAATCGGTATTTGGCCGTTCTTTTTGGACATTTGGACCTAACCGGTAACTGCAAATGTTATTTTTCGTACCCGATTACGTAAGGAAAGTAATGTTCCTTTGGGTGTCCGCTTCGGGTTCTTCGGTTTTAACCGGCCCGCTGGCCCTTTTTAGCGACCCTCCGGTATCTTTCCCAGCTATCGTGGTTTAGTTAAACTCGGATTCGGTTTCGCCGAAGCCTTTAATCCTTTAAATCCTTAACGATTGCCTTGCCGGTAACCTTTCGGTGGGCCTTTTAAATGTCGCGGGTTCATTGGGCCCTTTTGCGCTTGCAACCCCTTAAAATTCCCGCAAACGTTTTGCCGGTAACCCTTTGGCGGGCTTTAACCGCCGCGGCAAAAAAATTTCCGCCGAAAAAAAGCGTAAAGCGCGCAACGAACGCCGCCGCAACGCTTTCGATTTTAATGGACCTGCCCCCAAAACGGACATTGCCTTTTTTTCGCTTTATATGGGTATCCGCAACGCGCTCCCGTCGCGGGAAGTTATCGATTTTTGGTAAGGTAATAATTGGGACCTTATTTATTTGCCCCCTTTTAAAAATAATTATACGAAACGTACGGTATTTTATAGCCGCTGTTTTGGTCGTTAAGCATATTAAAATTATGCCGTCGACCCCTGTATACCGATATGCTTCGATAATTGTACGGGGTCCTTTAAATGTATTTATTGCAAAAACGTGGTTAGCAATAAGGCTTGCGTTAAGCTTCCCGAATGGTTTTAGGAAATGGCCCAAAACCTTTACAAAATTTTAAATACCGTTTACAAACGGTTGCCCAAAGCGATACCGAAGCTTTTCGAAAAGCTTATTAAAGCCCAATTTCGCGCCCGTAAAGCCATTTAAAAAGCCAAATCCTTTTATACCATGTCGGCCGAACAATTTGCGCGCTACGAACGTTAAGCCGTTATTTAAAAGCGCATTTAGCGCAAAACTGCTAGCGCTGCGACATTAAAAGCTACTTAGGACATTTTTTAATAGTTTTACGCTATCGCCGTTTAAACGAAAAGGCAGGCTTAAATTTCGGCTGGCATTGGTAATTCCTTTAACAAGGTAAAGGCGTTTTTTAAGCGTTTTAAAAAAGGTATGGTTGCTTTTTTTGGTAGCATTGCCGCTAGTTTTGCCACGATTGCGGCGCATTCGGATACCCAGGCTTACAGCCGCGCGGCTCCCCGTGAGGGTGCAGCGTCCGTATTGGCGCCGGGAGGTGCCGCTTTTGGCGCTAACGACTTTGGCGGCAACGATTGTAGCGCTAGCAAAAGGGACGTGGTTTCCAAAGGTTTTAATTCCTTTGGATACGGCATTTAATCGATTTTTTTTATATATTTTTTTAATTAATTATTGGTATTCCCTTTTTAAAAGGTGGTTAGTTTTAAATTTTTTTCGTTGATTTGTTACAGTTAAAATTACAATTTCCTTTTGTTATGCTGCTTTTGCAGCATTGCGAAATCCCGGTGTTTATATTTACCAGCTAGGCTTTAATGCCTTAATAAATAATTTTAAAATGCTTTTTTTTCGCCCCTTTAATGGGTTTAAATACCGCCGACATGCATTTACCGCTACCCGAACGCTTAAGCCCGTCCGTTATGCCATCCGGAGGTTTTTCCATTTCTTTTTCGGGCAAGCAATAATGTTTTTTACTACGACGTACGTTTAAAATACGGTAATTGCTTTGGCGTATCGCGCTAAGCATGCCCTTTACGGGCTTTCCGAAGTATGCTACACTTTGCATATTTTTCGGGATTTAAATATGTCGCATTATTAATTTAAAGCGTTTCCCGTACTATACCGTTCTTACCTAACTTTTTGTTTATAAAGCACGATATTTTACGGTTATTACAAACCGTTTACGGGTTTTTTACGTTTTTCCCCGGTAACTAGCCGGTTCGGCACGTTAAAACATTTTTGGGCCATT